CACTCTGGCATAAACGATTAGGACATCCCTATTCTGAAGTTTTTCAGAAAATTATGTTGCAAGTTAACCATAATCCTTCGAAACATATTCCTTCCATTTCCTTTTGTGATGCATGCCAACTTGGCAAAATGCACAAAAACAGTTTTCCTGTCTCTAATTCCAGAGCTACTGTTCCTCTTGAATTAGTTCATAGTGACATTTGGGGTCCATCTCCAGTAGCTTCTATTGAAGGTTTTAAGTACTATGTGCATTTCCTTGATGATTTTAGCAGATTTACCTGGCTTTTCCCTTTAAGAACCAAAGCTGAAGTGCATTATGTCTTTGCTAAATTTCATCATCTAGCTGAGAGACAGTTTAATCATAAACTCAAGTGTCTATAGTCTGATCAAGGTAGTGAATATAAGGGTTTAGCTCCTTTACCTAACCAAGTCAGGAATTCAGTTTAAGCATTTTTGTGCTTATGTTCATCAACAAAATGGACGAAGTGAGAGAAAACATAGGCATATAGTTGAAACTGGTCTCACCTTACTAACCCATGCTTCCATGCCTATGAATTTTTGGTAGCTTGCATTTGATACTGCTGTATTTTTAATCAATAAGATGCCATCTGCCGTTCTTGATTTTCATTCTCCTTATCAGTTGTTGTTTTGTAGATTGCCTCTTTATTCATCTTTAAAAGTTTTTGGATGTGCATGCTTTCCTTATCTAAGAGATTACAATAGGCACAAACTTAGTTTTCATTCATCTAAGTGTGCGTTTGCAGGATATAGTCTAGTTCATAAAGGCTATAGGTGTTTAAGTTCTGAAGGTAAAATCTTTATTACTCCTAATGTTGTCTTTAATGAAGGTGAATTTCCTTTTGTGCACAACTTTCTTCAGTCTTCAGTTTCAACTTCTGCACAGTCGACAAACATCCCTTCTAGTATTAGATTTCCCTCTTTGTCAATATCATCATTAGTGTCTCCTACTGCTTTAGCAGCTCCCAACAGTAAAGTTCATCCAGTAGTATCATGCTCTGCATCCATTCTTTCTTCAACAGTTGGTGCACAAAATTCCTCCTCAACATCACCTTCTCATCAATCCAATAATGTTTCCAACAACACTTCATCTTCAGAACATGTACCCATCACAACATCCCTTTCAACACCTTCAAAAGTACACCCTATTACCATTAAAAAACAACACACTACATCACAATCTCATAGCTTATAAAATCAGAAATTTTCACACAATCAGGAACCTTCACAACCTCACAGCTTACAAAATCAGAAATCTTCACACAATCAGGAACCTTATTTCTGCCCTCTTACCATAGACTTAACAACATCTCAATTTGTCATTACCTCTACTGATAATCCCACTACATCACAGACTCTTATCACACAAAATCAGTCTATTACATCACAAAATCAGGATTCTTCTCACTGCCCTCTTGTAATTGATTTGACTCCATCACAGTTCCCTACTTCATCAACTGGTCTACCTGCTGCCTTAACCTCTACTGAAATAGATCCCTCACTGTCAACAACCTGTTCTATACCTCTAAACACACATCCTATGTTAACCAGAGCAAAAACCAGCCTTCAACACAAAACTGCCCTTATCATATCTGGTCAAGAACCTGTTCTATCTGAACCTAATTCAGTTACTGAAGCCTTGGTCAGTAATGAATGGATAGAAGCCATGCAACTTGAATATGATGCATTGGTAAATAATAACACTTGGTCCCTTGTTCCCAAGATGAGTGATATGCAGATTGTTGGTAACAAATGGGTTTTTAGGACAAAGTTTCATGCTGATGGATCCCTTCAAAAGTACAAAGCAAGGTTGGTTGCCAAGGGGTTTCATCAAACCCCTGGTTTGGATTTCTTTGAAACCTTCAGTCCTGTAACTAAGCCTTCAACCATCAGAATTATCCTAACCCTTATTGTGACAAATGGATGGGACATTCAACAAGTGGATGTCAATAATGCCTTCCTCAATGGCACCCTCAATGAAACAGTCTATATGAGACAGCCTGAAGGTTTTGAAAATCCTCAATTTCCTACTCATATTTGCAAATTAAACAAAGCCCTTTATGGACTTAAACAAGCTCCAAGAGCCTGGTTTGATAAATTGAAGTTTGCTCTTCTGGACAAAGGATTTAAAAACTCTATTTCTGATTTCAGCCTATTCATTTTCAAAAATGATTCCTTCATCATATATGTCCTTGTATATGTTGATGATATCTTAATTACAGGCTCCAATATCTCATTCATACATCAGCTTGTTCAAGATCTTAATGATCAGTTTGCCTTAAAAACTCTTGGGTCTATTAAGTACTTTCTTGGGCTGGAAGCCACAAGGACCTCTGCTGGAATTCATTTGAGGCAAACAAAATACATTGTTGATTTGCTGTCTAAAACTAAGATGATTGATGCTCATGCATGTCCCACACCCATGGCTGTTGGCACAAAATTGTCTTCTACTGACAGTGAACTGTTCCAAGATCCCAGCCTCTGCAGAAGCACCATTGGAGCACTTCAATACCTAACTCTAACTAGACCCGACATCAGCATTACTATCAATAAGCTGAGTCAGTTTTTACAAGCACCAATGGAGCTTCAATGGCAAGCTTGTGAGAGAGTTTTAAGATATATCAAAGGTACACAGTATCATGGGTTGCAGTTCAGACCAGCTGCATCTTTGAATGTTGAATGTTATGCTGATGCAGATTGGGGCAACAGTTTAGATGATCGACGGTCCATAAGTGGGTACTGTGTTTATCTAGGTCCTAATCTTATCCAATGGAGTTCCTGAAAACAGAGAGTTGTTGCTCTTTCTTCAACTGAGGCTGAATATAGAGCCTTAGCACACACAGCTACTAAAATAGCTTGGTTGCAAAGTATGTTTTCTGAGTTAGGATTGATTCTGAAAACTCCTCTGATAATTTGGTGTGATAATGTCAGTGCTGGTGCTCTTGCTGCAAATCCTGTTTTTCACTCAAGGACCAAGCATATTAAAATTGATATTCATTACATCAGGGATCAGGTTTTAGCTAAAAAACTCATGGTTCAATATATTCCGTCTAAACTTCAAATTGCTGATGTCCTTACTAAAGCCTTATTAGCAACTCAATTCCTTGAATTAAAGGGAAAATTAAATGTTGTAGCAATGACCAGTCCAGAAATTGAAGCAAAAGCTCAGATTAAAAAGTAGCAGTTTTGTTGTAAAAATGAAGGTCTGGAGGTGATCTGGAGTATGTGTTGATTTGTGAGTACAGTTTTGAGAAATTGAAGCAGAAGCTCAGATTAAAAGGTAGTAGTTTTGTTGTAAAAATGAAGGTCTGGAGGTGATCTGGAGTATGTGTTGATTTGTGAGTATAGTTTTGCAATTCTGGAGGTCTGGAAGTAGGAGTTTTGTTGGTTTTGTGTGTGCAATTCTGAAGGCTTGGTGAATGCAATTCTGGAGGTCTAAAGGTCTGAAGTTGTGAAAATGTTGCTTTGATGTGTACTGCGTAAGAAGCAGTTCAGTTATGAAAGTGTAGGCAGCTATGCAAATGCAATTCTGAAGCTGTGAAAATGAAGTTTGATGTGTGTGCAAGAGTTCTCTACTGGTCTGATAAGAAAAATGAAGAAAAATGAAAATGCAGTTTTAGAGTTGTTAAAGTGCAGTTCTCTACTGGTGTGTATTGTGTTCCTAAAGAAATCTGTTTAGAAAAATGCAGGAAAAAAAAATACAGTTTGTGTTGCTGACAGAAATCTGATAAGAAAGATGCAGAAAAATGAAAATGCAGTTTTGGAGCTGTTAAAGTGCAGTTCTCTGCTGGTCTGATAAGAAAGATGCAGAAAAATGAAAATGCAGTTTTGGAGCTATTAAAGTGCAGTTCTCTGCTGGTGTGTATTGTGTTGCTGAAGAAATCTGTTTAGAAAAATGCAGAAACAAAAAAATACAGTTTGTGATGTTGAAAGAAATCTGATAAGAAAGATGCAGAAAAATGCAGTTTGTATTGCTGAAAGAAATCTGAAAAATACAATGCAGCTTTTTTTTTTTTTTTGGTGCAGTTCTGAAGTTGTACTGAGTGTAAACAGTTCTGAAGCTGTAAAGTTGAAGTTGATGTTGTATGTTGCTGGAAGGCAACAAGAGGCTTCAACCATATGTAGAGTAGTCCAGTTTGAGGGGAAATGTTAACCATATGGTACAAAGGGTGCAGATTGTAGTTTAGCAATACATAAAGGGCCACGCAGTAGCTTTCCAATATGTTGTCGTTTTGAATTAGTTTTTAGTTAACACTTGAGCTCAAACGAGCTACTGTATTACTTAACTAATTCTCTTCTCCTTCGTGTCTTCTCTCCTCTGTATATAAGAGAGATTTTTTATTGTTTTCAGATTCATTCAATTAATACAAATCAGATCAAGTTTTTGCTCTTTTCTTCTTTTAATCTTCACAATACGAACATATGAACATGAGCAATTACACACAACTATTATTTAATTATCACTAATGTGACTAAGAAAAGAAACTTTAAAGATATTGAAGTGATAATGCTAGACTACAATGATTTGGTTGGCCAAATATAAATAATTCACATGAGATTGTGGTAGATGTAGACAAAACAAATAACAGAAGAGGAAAATTAATTAATAAAGAAAGATCTCGAAGTCAATAGCTATTGATACGTTTATAAATGTCTCTAAATAAAAGCAGCCTGTAGGCAGATGATATTGATAAGTGTGGACTGTGGAGTGGAGCCATTAGCCAAGGTGTGGGGCTATATATAAGCATGAATCACAGCGTGTCTCACAAAAATCTTTAAAATTTATATAGAAAAATAAAAGTTAGCCCCTATAAATGTAGTTATTCTATCTAGCCACACCTAATTTTTGAAGGTAATACTTTAGCTCTAGAAAATGTAACTTTCTGATTATTTTATGGCCCGTTGTTCATTGAAGATAACATTTTGGTTCCCCAGAAAATATTTTCTGGCTCTGCCCCTATTTGAGGATAAAAATTACCATATACAATTGAAACATGGTACAATGTGTGAATGAGAAATAATGAAATACATAGCAAGCATTTTACATTATAAAGACAACAAGCTTCAATGCAAAATTAATTACAATCACACAAATTGCAAGATAGAACATGTGGTTTGTATGATAGTGAGTAGTAGGAGTATAACTGCTGCAAGAGTCGCTGTGCCTCTCCAAAGATTGTTGAAATATACTCTTTTCAGAGTTGTTTTTTTCTTGTTCCATGGATTCTTATAGTGTTCCCTGAGTTTCTTGCAAATTTCAAAGTGTGAAGATTTGCTAGGACTGATAAATTGGCTAAGTTTGTTAAACATATTTGCTACCGAAGTATTATCGCCCATTTCATGGGAAATAATTCCATTTTCAACAAGCAGGTCCACATCTTTTTCAGTATCGATAAGATAATCCATTAGTCTAATGTAATTGCAAACCTGAGTATCATCTGGATAATGACACTGCTCTAAGGCCATAATGTTTCTAAGTAAACTTTCAGTGTGGCCCAATAATTTTAAATGTGGTATTTGCATCTCATGTACTTCAAACCATGGGACTCGTTGATTTCGTGTTTTCAATCTTATGTTAGTTAAGATGTGTTCTTCTTTTAAACGCTTAAACTTCAATCCTGACTCATGCAACTTCATTGCACAAGGTAAATAACGAATCATTCCTTTGACCTGCTCAGATTTTTGGTTGCGTTCCACTATACTAGTTCTTTGCCAATCGAGTAAATGTTTAACTGCCACCTGGGGGGTTAATCTGCCCAAATTCGAAGTAGGAGTATTAAAAAAAGAATGTGAAAGGTATGTGAAGGTAGGCATTTTAGGGCCAACGAGAGCTAACTCACATATTTCCTTGAGGACGAAGTATGGAAGTTGATTTTCAAGTAATAGAAAGTCCCTACGTAAAGATGCTTTTACCCTTGCTGTAGATAGTAATAAATCACTTTTACAAAAAAAGTTGTCATCCCTGTAGAACAACTCTATGATAAAGATAGCGTCATATAGAATCATCATTGCATACTCAACTTTCCCAAGTTTAGATGTCTCTGCATAACAATTACGAATATTTTTCTCGTTATCTTTGATGAAGTTTAATATTTTATCTCGCTTCACTGTTGTTATTCGTTCAAGAAAACTTTTCATATATTTTATTTTTGTCTTTTCCATGTTAGCTAATTTTTTTTTTCCATGGTGAAGAGGACCTATTGAAACTAATTGAGGAGTGTAGGCTTCTTCATTTACGGTACGAAGATCCTGAGGAACCCTATAAATACAACACTTACGAGCATCAAGCTCAGGCTCCAAATTTTCGTCAATATCAATTCGCAACTCTTTGACCATATCCTCAAGTTTAAGAGAAGCACTCATCCAACTTCTTTGCCCTATTGACAAACCGTACTGACAATAGTCAATAACAATAAATAGATAAATGCAACACTCAGAATGATCAACTCTCAGCAAAAAATCATGTTGCATGCATGAGGTAATTATTTCCATAAATAGTTTTTAAAATAATATGCAATCTCTTATAACTCACAAATAAATATTTTATATTAATATCACTTGCAAAGATTTAAATTAAAAATATGTGGGTAGAGATTCTTGGAATGAATCCTCCTCACATAGAATGTTGGAATCGGAAAGAATTAACTATTATATTTGTAATGGTAATATAGAATAACTGTCATACAAAACGCTTTGAAAAAGGAACAAAATGCATGTTATAATCCAAAGTTATATTATGCATTTAACAATATAATATTATACTCTATTAATTAACACAATGTCCAATTAGCCATTGTATATATATATATACCCCAAAACCAATAGATTGATCGCCAAACTTTGATCACATTGGTGTTGAAGGTGTCGTTTCACTCACCGAAAGTTTTTTTTAGTGTCTGGAAACCGGCAATCGCATTAATCTTGAATTTGATTAACAATTTAAAAAATAATAATAATAAAAGAACCAGATAACTAAGCAAATAAAAATAAAGTGCATGCTTGTGTAGTTTTAGTAAAGGATAAGAGCAGTATGAAGATGATAGTATCCTGACCTGAGTTGATTTCCTCCTCTCGAAAGTCACAGCTACCTCACAGCACAGCAGGGATGTGTTATGTAATTACGGTGTATCTCTCTGATCTCTCTTTCATAATATGTTTTCTCTTCTGCTTCCTCCCCGTAATTTATATGCACACTTCTGACTTCACACCTTTAATTTGAAAGAATTTGGTACTGTTAAAATTACTCTAAAACCCCTGAGTTATTCAAACCCATCGCCGTTAGATATGACTCTTGACCCCCCACCGCCGTTAATCAGAGTTACTTAAAATCTGTCATCTGACATCCTACACAACTTAAATTTCATATTTACCCCTGATTTGCAGTAACATATAATAAAAATAAAATAATAAATATAAACCATTTTAAATTTATATAATAAATAATAAATAAAATTACTTACGACAGATGGTGGCTTGACAGGATGATGGGAAGGGGAAGTTTGAGAAGATGGGAGCAGGCGACTTGAGTAGAAGAGATGTTTTTAGGCTTTTCATTTTTTATTTTTATATGTTAGGAATTTGAAATTGGAATTAGTTTTAATATTTTTTACTTTATATTATTTTATTGTTATTCATGTAAAGTTAATCTTTTAGCCCTGATGTTTTTAATTTAACAGAAAGGTGTTAACGTTGACTAATAGTAGGGTGTTGTGAGCTCTATCCAAAAACAACAGGGGTTCATATAACCAGGTATATCTCAGGGGTTTGGGACTTCCCAAAAACAGATGATATTTAGAAGGACTTATTAACAATAAAGAAGTGGGGCAACTTACTAAGACTATATAGGTCTTGTAATAATTAAACCAACAGTAATACCAATTATTAAATTAAATATTATATTATATGTAATATGGTATCTCATCTTATAATTGCATGTACAATTTTTGTTAAGTTTTTAACAAGATAAGCGTTAAATAAAAAAAAAAAAAAAAAATTTACTTCCAATTGAGAAAAATTTCCGACTACGTTTGGTGATTATTGTTCCTCTACTCTTCTGTGGTACATGTATAGCTATAGTTAAGTCTATTATTCTCGGTTGTGCTAGATTTGGTGATTATTGTTCCTCTTCTCTTCTCTAGATCTACAAGATTAGAAAAAGTTCAATTTATATTGTAGGTATTAGGTACTCCATCTTCAATTCTCTTCATTTTCAAAATAAAATACATATTATATTAGATGATATTGAAAGTGTGGGAGTGATTAGCAAGAAAAAGTCATATATGATACTTAATATACTCTTAAAGAAAGGCCTCAAAATACGAGAACCACTAATTATAGTACAAATTGTTGGAGATCTCATATCGATTAGGCACACTCAAGCCAATTAGTTTATAAGAGTGGACAATCCTTCTACTCAATAAGGTCTTTTGGATGAGGAGTTAGGCCCAACTCCAACAAGTGGCCTTATTGAGTGGAAGGATTGCCCACTCTTATAAACCCATTGGCTTGAGTGTGCCTAGTCGATATGGGATCTCCAACACTCTCCCTCATGGTCAAGCCCATATGGTCCACTTATCTATTAATGGAGGTAGTTTGGTAGCCCACCGCTGGTCAATCACTCAGCTCAAATGGGGCTGGCTCTGATACCACTTGTTGGAGTTGGGCCTAACTCCTCACCCAAAAGGCCTTATTGAGTGGAAAGATTGTCTACTCTTATAAATCCATTGGCTTGAGTGTGCCTAGTCGATATGGGATCTCCAACACAGATGTCTTAAAATAGAAGCAGCTAGATGATGATATTGGTGAGAGTGGGGCTAATTAACAAGAAAAATCCAATCATGTACACCTCCTCAGTAATCGATGCAAGAAAAGTTACATGTGATCAATAATTTTTAAAAGAGAGTCATATGATTTTTAATTAATTTTCTACATCAATAATGCTATCACCTTTAACGATTATCTTAAATTTTTTATTACAGTGGCATGGCTCCACCCGCTCCTCATGGCTTATATATTTTTGACGACACAAACAATCTAGAATATAACGCGATCATATGGATAATTGATCATGCTCACCGACTCCTCTAATGTTTGTTTGGAAAAGAGAGAACACTGTCTTATTGTTAACACAACCCAAAAAAAAAATTATTTTTTCAAGAAAACGACATATTCCCAACCAAGATTTGACAAAATCCCAAATTGATATCCTAAGTTACATTTATTCTAGATTTTCACCCTTGAAATAACACTGTTAGCAATTTTTAGGGATATAGAGGATGCAATTATTATAATGCCCTTAACTTTAAATTAGTAAATTACGTTTTAACCCCTAAATTAGTAGAATTATAAAACTTACTATTTTATTTTCAAATTATCTCAATAACACCCTCAGTCACTGCACACCCTCTCGATTTTTGCCTAATCTGGGTTGTTTCCGATGGCGTCAAACGCTCTGGTCACCTCCATCACCTTCCCTATAGTTTTTCGTCCAAAACCCCTCTGGTTCCAGAATCATTGGCTCCTCCAATCGATGGCACCGTTAGACTTAGGGTTTCTCTATTCTTCGTCGGATTTCGATCGATTCCGATGGCAAAAATCCAATTGGACACCACCACTACAACTAGTGTCTCCTACTCTATAAAACCCCTTATGTCCCCAGCAACCGTTTAGTTGTTGTTCGCGAACCGAGAGTTCATGTTCATTGGTCATCCGTTTTTTGGTGAAGTGGTGGACAACAAATGGTGAGCTGCCTTGGCTGGGAAGGTTAGGGGTTTTGTAGGGGAGGATGCAAGGAGTCAAATGGTGGTGGTGGTTGGGGTTGTCGCCATTCAAAATGTCGCGGCTGTCGTACTCGGCGATCAGCGAGTGATGAGGGGTTGTGAAGGGTAAGGTTTTGTAGAAGGGAAGATAGGGGTTCAAATGGTGGTGACAATGGTGATTTTGGGTGGAAGAATCGCCAAAAAAAGGGTGAAAAACATTGGGAACACCATCTGCTAACATGCATCGGAGGATTGTTAGAGGCGGCGATCTGCTAGCGTGTGTTGTCTATGCAAAATGACCAATTTACCCATTTACCATTACATCAAACACTTTTCCCTCACTTTAAGGGTGAGAATCTGAAATAAATGTAACCAATCATACTAACTTAGAATTTCGTCAAACCTTGGGTAGAAATATGTCGTTTACTCTTATTTTTGCTTACAGTATAAATGATTGATCAGTAAAAAAGATAGAATAAATTTCATTTCTAGTGATAATTAATTAATGAGTAATACTACACATTCCAAAAGATATCACAAAATTCACATCCTAAATTATGTGTCATCTTATTTGATTATGTCATGTCAGTCACTAATTCACCACTTCTTTTAAATCTCAACACCATATGAGATTATACACCACTTGAGACAAAAGAAAATTTTGAAATAACTTTTACAATGAACGGTATTATCATTAATTAATGTATATGAAGATATGAACGTGAGAAATTACACACAATTATTATTTAATTATCACTAATGTAACTAAGAAAATAAACTTTAAAGATGTTGAAGTGATAATGCCAGACTACAATGATTTGGTTGGCCAAATAGAAATAAATCACATGAGATTGTTGTAGATATAGACAAAACAAATAACAAAAGAGCAAAATTGATTAATAAAGATAGACCTCGAAGTCAATAGCTATTGATAAGTTTATAAATGTCTCTAAATAAAAGCAGCCTGCAGGCAGATGATATTGATAAGTGTGGACTGTGGAGTGGAGCCATTAGCCAAAGTGTGGGGCTATATATAAGCATGAATCACATGAACTTATTTTATGGATAAGTGGAGCCATCAACCTAATTTCAACATGCATGATTCACGTTGTACCAAAAAAATCAATGCATATAAAATGAAAGACAAAGTCTTCTGCGTTGCAAACACTAAACAATCAATAATTTTAGATAGAAAAATGAACTTCCCAATTTTTCATTAATCTCAAATGTATTTACAGTATACTTATATAACTAAAGACTGATGTGATGTGGCAGTCCAAGTGATTCACAACAAAAGAAAATCTCAGCCATTCAATCATGAATAATACTACATTTATAAAGACTTTATACAAAATTTTCCCTACAAAGTAATATGCCAAATTATGATTGAAATAATTAATATAAAAAAATTAATTTAATAAATACACATTTAATGATAGTGAATAATATGATAATGCATGAGTATATTCATTATAATTTAATTTAACAGAAAGGTGTGAACGTTTGACTAATAATAGCGTGTTGTCAGTTAGAGCATCTCCAACCCACGCCAAATTGGCGCAAAAAACACCAATTTGGCGTGGGTTGGTACTCCAACCCACACCAAATACTGCGCCATTTTGGCGCAACGCTACAGTGCCGCGCCTGCGCCAAATTTGGCGTGGCACTGTAGCGCTGCGCCAAAATGGCGCAGCACTGTAGCATAATAAAAAAATATATTTTTTTTTTAATTTTGATTTTTTTTTTGTTAAGTTAATTTGAGTATTAAATTTTACACCAAAAATCATACCATATTTGAGTATTTGTATTTAATTTAATTTGATTATTATTTATAATAATGATATAATTTAAAAAATGATGACAAATTAAAAATAGAACTTTATTCAATGCAAATATTAAACTACAATAACTAAAAATAAAAATTAACACTAATTTAAAAACACTAAAATTAAAAGAAAATACAACATAAACTAAAATAACAATTAGTTTTTTTTTTTTTTGTATCATTTTATATTAGATGTAATGTTTTTCTATATTAAATGTAATGTTTATTTGATTAAATAAATGCTTAATTCTATTAAATTAGTATAATTTTCAAAATAATTATTATTTAATAAAAATATCATTCCCAATATTTAATTAATATATACAAAAATAATGAGTGAAATAGATTAATTGTTGATTATTACAATAAAAGAAAAAAAAGAATATTTTAAAGAATATTTTTTTTGGTGCAATATTTGGTGTTGTGGGTTGGAGATGGAATAGTGTTTTGCACCAAATTTTGCACTAATTTGGTGCAATTTTGTACCAAATTGGTGCAATGGGTTGGAGATGGTCTTATATTCAAAAACAACAGGGGTTTGTGTTAAGGTATATCTCAGGGGTTTG